CAGATCTTTACCATTTTTATAACAGATCTTGTGTTGATGGAAATATTGAGACGTGCGAAGTATGAAGGGCTTCATGGATATTCAACATTTTGACCCTTTTTGGGGGAGGTGACAGAAGGATATATTCCAACTTTACATCAAACCTTATATTAATAAATCTATTGTGATGTGTATAATTTGAAAACAATCCGACTCTTACATCACATTTTATAAGAGCTATAATTTTTTTTAAAATTTTGTCTCTTTGTGGGTACCTCCCCATGGAGTGGACAGATATTTTCCATATTTATCGTACCTGACCTAGAACTGATGCAAATATCAGAATTTGCAAAGTTGGAGGATTATGCTCTTTTCTTTGGGTGCAGTAAAATACTTTTAATTTGGACCTTTTGTGGGGGAGCCTGTGGACCGATATTGCCTAGCTCTGAACACGATATTAGTTTGGCCATAATCACTATAATCGGACATCGCTAGATCGGCTCCAAATGTCCTGAAACGGATTTGGTCCAAAAAGACATAGGGTCTTAAACCGTTATTTCGATGAGGAACGTTTTGGCCGTACAAATTATATATACCCTCTGTAGCCACATGTCTAAGGGCATAAAAAAGGAATTATGTTACGATATATTTTGTCTCGTATTAATTCGTGTATATAATTTTGAAAACGTAGGCTGAAGAAATTATATATTGTCAAACAAAAAAATTATTAAACATTTTTTTTAAATGGATAATTTGTTAAAAAAGCGTAAAAAGAATATTGTCGAACTATTGAAAGAAATAACCATGGTATTTTGGGAGTATATCAGCGAAAATTATATGCAATTTTCGCCGTTTTGCCTTTCAAAAGAAATATTATGACTGACGCTGTCAGACCCGTGAAATGCTGGAATTTTTAAAGGATGAATTATGTTTTCAAAAGAAGCTTGAGGCTTTAAAGGAGTCGTTCACTGTGGTAAAACTACTTTGAAATTTTAAAGGAATTGCTATGATGTCTTTGCAACTTATTCAAGAGCGCCTTTCTACAGGTCACACCAAATTTTAACCAGAGAATTGTGTAAGTAGCGAATTTCGATATTAATAAGCATTAGGAATGATTTCTCTTAAAAGACGTATTAGAGCATAATATTGTTTTACTATCATAATAATGTCCTATAAATCATAACCACCTTGCCGCACTATGGAAAAAACGTATACTTTCTATATATATTATACCCTCGACCATATGGCTATAGAGGGTACATATCATTTGATATGGCCAAAACGTGCTATAAAGGTTTTTTGATCCTATGTCTCTTTGTACCAAATCCATTTCAGGGCATTTTGAGTCGATCTAGCGATGTTCGCCCTTCTGTCTGGCGTGCTCGATTACTCGAAGTGAGTATCCGATTTGATCCAAACTTGGTACATCGTAATGTTATTATCAAACTTAGTTCGAGTAAAGAGATAAGTAATCTTCTGGTACTTCCCCAAAACAAGGTCAACCTTTTCAAAAAAAAAAAAAAAAAAAAATCCACTAATGAGAAAGAATGAATAATCCAATTTTGCTCCAACTTTGCAAATCCTTATATTTGCATCAGTGCTAGGTAAGGTGTGAAAATATCGGTTCGCTCAATCAAGTTTCTCCCCCATAAAGGGTCAAAATTGTTAATAATTATAACTCCTATGAAATGTGATGTAAGAGTCAGATTGTCTACAAATTACACACATCACAATATTTTTATTAACCCAAGATCTGGTGTAACGATGGAATATATCAGTCCACTCCTTCTGGTACATTCCCCACACCAAGATCTGTTATGAAGTTGATATATATCTGCGAACCCCTTTCTGGTACTTAACCCACAAAGGATCACAATGTTCAATACTTTTATTTGTCATATGTTGTTAAACAAGTCAGCGATTCTTTACAACTTGCCACATCCGAATATTTCTCTCAACCAAAAACCTGTGATGAAAATGAAATTTATGATTTCCAATAAAATTGGATATAAATGTTCGATTGTCTTGTAATTTTGCCCATATTAACATTTTTATCTGCCCATATTAATTATTTTTATCTTTCTATACCTATAAAAGAGGAAAATGTTTGTATGTTTGTTTGTTTGTAATTTATGGACTCGAAAACCGCTGAATAGATTTTCCTGAAAATTTCCATATATACTGCAACATCGCCAGAAAGTAACATAGGCTATATACATTTTTGAATTTCCACTTAGAAGTGGAGGTATAGCATCAGAATCGGAGGTACCTCCCAAAAATTTAGATTTTATATGCACATATCTATTGATTGGTTGAAGATACAGTCTCCAAATTTGGAATACGTAACGGAATTTGGAACAAAAATAAATTTGCCAAATTATATTGTAATCGGTTCTGATTTGGATATAGCTCCCATATATATTTTCGACCGATTTCGTTCATTTGATGCCTCAAACACAATATGAATGTTCGATTCCAATGAAATTTGGAATGTGTGACGGTATTTAATCCGAAAATAAATTTGTCAAATTATATTGAAATCGGTTCAGATTTGGATATAGCTCCCATATATATTTTCGGCCGATTTCAAGCATTTGATGCACCAAACACACTATGTATCCCCAATTTCAATGAAATTTGAAACGTGTGATAGATTTTATCTAAAAAATTGATTTCACAAATTATATTGAAATCGGTTCAGATTTGGATATAGCTCCCATATACATTTTCGGCCGATTTCATGTATTTGGTGGACCAAACACGATATGTATTTCCAATTGTAATGAAATTTAAAATAAGTAACGGAATTGGGAGCCAAAATGAATTTGTCAAATTAAATTGAAATCGGTTCAGATTTGGATATAGCTCCCATATATATTTTCGACCGATTTCATGTATTTGATGCACCAAACACGCTATGTATCTCTAATTTCAATGAGATTTGGAATGTGTAGCGGAAATTAAAACAAATATACATTTGTCAAGTTATATTAAAATCGGTTCAGATTTGGATATAGCTCTCATATATATTTTCGACCGATTTCATGTATTTTGTGCACCATACACGATATGTATGTTCGATTCCAAAGAAATTTGGAATATGTAACGGGATTTTGATTAGAAAATAAATTAGTCAAATTATATTAAAATTGGTTCAGATATGGATATAGCTCTCATATATATTTTCCGCCGATTTCACAAAACACGATACGTATTTCCGGTTCCAATGAAATTCGGCATGAGTGGCTAAATTTGGTACAAAAATAAATTTGACAAATTATATTCAAATACGCTCAGATTTGATTATAGCTCCCATATATATATACAGCCGATTTCACATATTTGATGCACCCAAAGCGAAAGAGACAAAATCTGGCACCAGAAAAAATTGCCAAATTATATTGAAATCAGTTGAGGTTTGGGTATAGCTAACATATATATTTCGGCCGATTTCATACATGTTATGCACCAAACATGATATATATGACCGATACCAATGAAATTTAGAATGTGTGGAATGTGTGGTTACAATAATAAATGTGACAAAGTAATTGGAAATTAGTTAAGATTTGGATATAGCTCCCATATATATATTCTCGGCCGATTTCACATATTTGACGCACCAATTTCAATGAAATATGAAAGGTGTGGCGGAATTTGGTGTAAAAGTAATTTTTTTAAATTATATTTAAATCTGATCAGATTGGGATATGATTTTAATAAGAATCATTGACCCACAACGCCTTGGGCTAACACTAAAAAACAACACAACAATTGATTTGAAATACGCTTATTACGGCGATGTATGTTGCTATTTCGAATTCACTAATTGCAATAGAAATGCCAATCAACTTCAAAAGATTGCAGTTTACTGCACGCTTGGTATTTGCTATGAAATAAATAAATCCGAAGGACAAACCCTTCGTGTATGTATGTCATGTTACTGCTTTTCTAATGGTTTTGGTTATTTACGCATTAAAGTAGTGCAATATTTTTTTTTTTTAATTTTTAAATTTGTTTTTTTTTAACCAACATATATTCTTAAATAAAATTTTGAATGCATATAAAATCAAAAGGGGTAGCGAAGCGCACCGGGTTCAGCTAGTTTCACATAAAGTGAAGGAGGTTATCAATATAGTCCAAACCTGTCACGTTGCAATATTTATATCATATTTAGTTGTTGTTTCAGGCTTAATCCTATTATTGTTGTTTTTATAAAATCAGTAATTATAAACATTTTCATATCTCTCCACTTGTTATGCTTTCGTTTTACATGAACGAAATAGCATAACCATGTAAGTTGGGTCTGTCTGTTACAACAAAAACCCTACAAACAACAACAACAAAATTCTACGGTATCCCGAACAAACATGCCAACACTGTTCTATATCATATTTATTTAGGTCCGATACGAAATGGACAATATTGGCCCATTCCTTCGGAGTGTCAAATATTTGAATAATCATAAGAGAAATCAAAATATATTTAAATATAGGTATCAAATCAAATGACAAACACAACACACCTTCTATTCCTTGTCAGCAGGACATGAAAAAGCTTCGGCTATCTATGACGTCATTATAAAAAGGAAACCATTATGAATTAGCCTTATTGTCACCACAATCATCCCATACCCCGTTATTATACTCCCACTACATCTGAACACCAATTTCACCTCAAACCTATGCAATGCTTAGTTGAGACATCAACCACAACATGTCCGGAAAGCTTTCTATTGCATTTCGCAGTCGTTGTTGTTGTTATCGTAGTTAAATTCAATGAAATACTCAAACATCTTCACCTACACACACATACACTCACACGGCATAACGGTAAAGCAACAGGATGTTTATGAATACGAATGCCGAAGGTTTTGTATACGAACTAGCCGAATGCCAACACAAACACACGACACGAATAACGGTCTCATCAACGAATTGTGTTGTATATAAACGTTTGGCATCAATGGCCGTGTGGACATTCGTTGCTAACGCGTTGCCGCTAACGTTTGTTAACAACAACTTCTCCTGAGAGCCAATAGCAAAGCTAAAATCAAAAAGAGAATATTTTGAATTTTTTGAAAGTTAATCGATATTCAAAGTGTTTTTTGGAATTTTAAGAATATTTGAAATAAAGAAGAAATAGAGAAATAACTTGATTTAAATTGTCAAGAAAATTCAAGTGCGAAAATTGTGCAGCAAATTTTTTGTGCAAATATTCAATACAAATTAACAAATTGTGGAATTTAAGTGAATTAATTAAAAAAAGAAACAAGAACATACATTTTGAAATTGAATTTTGAAAAATTTAAAGGACATTTCCCCAACAAAAAAGGTAAGCTATTTGTGAATTTTAAAATAACATGGACTTTAAGTAAAAAAAAAAATAAATTAAAATTTGAAAAAAAAAAAAAAATTATAAAAAATTACGTTTGGATCAAAAAGTGGCAAATCTTAAAAAAATAGTTAAAGAACTGTATAAAATTTATGAAAAAAAGTTTATTAAACAAATGTGTGATAAAGAGAAAGTAGTTTTAAATTTTACAAAATAACTGCAAGTTAAAAAAATAAATTTTAATTGTTTTAAAAATGTCTTATGGTATGAAATATAGAGAAATATGTAGAGAAATATATACAAAATTTTCATAAATGCAACATTAGTTGCGAAAAACTGGAAATTTTTAAGGTTTAAGCACAAAATTTTAAAAATTATATTATTAAAAAAAATTGGAAAATTAAGCAAAATATTTTTTTTTTCGAAAAGAAAATTTTCAACGTTCATTTCTTTTTTGGCGCATCAACAAAATCTTTTCTTAAATAAATTATATGTTCGTTTTTGAGGAAATATTGCGGAATTTAAATTTTTAAAGTACAAAAATTTAATATCTTTTCCACATGTGTGCTCAAATTTTTAAAAGAAGAATTAAACATTTTTTTCACAAAATATAAGATTTCAATATTAATTATTTTGTGATCGGCCTAATTATATACTTTATACAAGGAAACATTTTCTCTAAAAGGTTTATGTCCATTTACCCTCGACCTAAATAATAAGAAAATCTTAAATTTTAATTACAAGGAAATTTTGTAAAAATAAATAAACGCCTTTTTCTAATATCGATACGTTTCCAAAATAATTTTGTTGTAAAAGTATAAAATAAATATTTTTTCTACCTAAAATTTCTAAAACCATAGCTAAATAATTATACCCTACATCACAGTATGGAGGGTATATTAAGTTTATCACTCCGTTTGTAACACCTCGATAAAATTTGGTTGACAAAATTTTCCTCAAATGTATATTATGTCTGCAGGATTTTTGGTATTGAAAATGGACCATGTAGGTCCACGTTTTGGTATACCCTCCATATAACAGCACCTCCCGATATTTGGTATTTTGGTGATTTTAGCGATATTATTAACCGGAATTAATGGATACTAAACCTATGGCAGAAAATTGTCCGTACATGTCCACGTTTTGGTATAGCGTCCATACAACGGCACCTCCCGATATTCGGTATTTTGGTGATTTTAGCGATATTATTCACCGGAATTGTCTTAAATTTGGTATTTCAAGTTCGTAATGGATACTAAAGCCTATGACGGAAAATTGTCCGTGCAGGTCCACGTTTTGATATAGCCTCCATATAACCGCACCTCCCGATATTCGGTATTTTGATGATTTTAGCGACATTACTCACCGGAATTGTTGAAGTTTGTAATGGATACTACAGCCTATGACAGAAAAATGTTTTTGCAGGTCCATGTCTTCGTATAGCCCCTATAGAACGGTACCTCCCGATATTGGGTACTTGGAAGATTTTAGCGACATTATTCACCGGAATTGTTTCAAATTTGGTATTTGAAGTTCGTAATGGGTACTACAACCTATGACAGAAAATTGTATGTGCAGGTCCACGTCTTCGTATAGCCCCCTTATATCGGTACCTCCCGACATTCGGTCTTTATTCACCGGGATTGTTTCAATGGATACTAAGGCTTATGACAGAAATTGTCTGTGCAGGCCCACGTTTTGTTATTTGGTTTTGATATTTGAATATTGTAATGGCTTATGACAAAAGTTGCCTATGTAAGTCCACGTCGTCGTATAGACCCTAATATAACGGCTACATTCGGTATTTTTAAGATTTTACAGAATTTTAACGGATTTTTTTTTTGAAATTTGCCAAATTCGTTCCAAATGGTGGAGGGTATTCCAAGATCGGCACAGCCGAACTTACAGTTATTTTTACATATAGACATTTAGGCGCAACAACACATAAAATGGGTAAAGTTTATTTAAAAATAGTTGCCGGTTAAATAATAGAAAAAGAAAGTTGTGATTCCGATTTTGGGGTATGAAAGTAAAAAATATATGTATTATCCCCCATGGGTACCAGGTTCTGGGATAAAAATTTTAGCGTTCAAAATTTTGTTAACCCAGCAAGAAAACTTGTTTCCAACTCCGTCTCATCAAATCCAATGGGCGAAATATAGTATGTGTTAGACCAATTAAAGGTAGACTAATTAGCTAAAACATTTGCGATAAATGGGTTGGATGAAAAGTAAAGCCGAGAAAGAAAAGCTGCTATCCAATTCATTGCATACATCATTGGAATTGACCCAATATTTGTCTTCTCATAAATAAAGAAATTACACATTTTTCAGATGTAATTCGAAAAATTTTATTTGAAATTCGAGAATTCCTTTTGTGATTCGTAATATTTCAATTGTTATTTGAGAATTTAATTTGTAATTCATAAAATTCCATTGAAAATTTTAATTATTTCATTTGTAATTCGAATTTTTGTATTTTTTTTTTCGAATTTAATTTGACATTCGAATTATTCCATTTGTCAATTACACAATTGAAATTCGATAAAAAACGCAATCTTTTGTTGTATTGACTTCATATTTGGTTTTTCAAATTACAAATAAAATTATTCGAATTACAAGTGAAATAAATCGAATTTCAAATGGAGCAATTCGAATACAAAATAGAAAACTTCGAAAAACAAATAAAATATTTCGAATATCGAAGGGAATTGCAAATTAAATTCTTAAATTACGATTGAAATGTTTTGAATTACAAATGGAATTCTCGAATTACAAATTAATTGTTATGAATTACAAATGAATTGTTCCGAATCACAATTAAAATACTTTGAAATACGCCTGAAAGTATTGTATATTGTTTATTGAATGCCTCAAAATTTTAGTTTACACACGAATGTAAAATTTTCCTTTCAAAAATTGAAAATTCCTTCATAACCGTTCGGTGATACACTGAACCAAATTGAAATTGCCTCAAAAAATCGGACGAATGCTGACATTGTATGTTAACAATTTTGTCTCTACAGAAGGAACCTATTAATAAACAAGGCGGAGAAGGATGCTTTTACTCCATTGACTCTCCTGAGGGCATGTCGAACATGAGTATTGAATTTCATTAATTTTGAAAAGTGTACTCCAAGGTACTAAAAACAGCTTTATTTGTTTTATTTCGAGGTACGACTTATCGAAGGCATTTCGTAAGCAAATTGCTTGGCATTTGAAAACATTTATTTTAATCCCCCAATCGAAAAAAACATACAAACCTTATCATGGCAAGGTATACAGAAATATTACTGTTATTAAAAAAACTTTCAGATGTGCTCTAAACCCAATAATTTTGAAATGCATTTGAAAAATCCTCTAGGAATGCGATGTTTAGCTTTAATGGTTCTTTTAAGGATTCTTAAAAAAATTAATAATTATTTTTTCCGTTTCAATCCCCTGGCGCCGATAAATGTTAAACGCAAAGCAATTAAAAACGACAGCAATCAGTGCGACCGGAAATTTAATTATAGATTACTACAACTACAATGCATTCTTTCTACCACATAGAAGAAGAAATAGCAGTGCGAGCAAGTAATACAAAGTGTTTTCTAACACCCGAGAATGAGAATTGTACTGATGTAATAATATCCCTGGAAGTATGCAATATGTAATGGTAAAAAGTAATTACGATTGTGGCCACGTAATATAGGGCAGATGATTTACAACCTTTTCCACACGAAAAAATCCATACCATGAAATGTTTAAGTTTTATAATTTAATAAAAAAATATTGAGTGAGAATAAATTTTCAATTGGTTATTATTTTTTTTTTACAATGAATTATTTTTTCTTTTCTTACTCCATGATTTTACTGTAATCGGCTACCAAGCACAACTGAAAATAGTTTTAGTTTATGAGTATTTTTTGTCAATGTTTTTCTCTTTTTCAATAGTTGACACATTTCTCACAAATATTCGAAACGTAATATAATCAGTCAATTTCAGGTGTTTTGACAATTTTTACACAATTTTAAACAATATTCACTATTATTTCATATTTCAACTCCCAGTTGGTATTAGATGGATTCCATGGAAATATGTTTTCATTTTAATTCTGCATATTTCACTACAGAAAGCATTTCGCTTTTCATAATAAAGAAAATAGTAAAAAATAAAAAATAACGACTTTTTTAAACTTAGACATATCAAAAATTGTTCAAAACATGAATTGTATAAGTCTTCGATTTATAGTTAATTCGAACGGGATTTTGGTACTATATACGACCTTCTTTGATTGTCAAAAATTACCCATTTTGAATTACGAAGAGTTCTACAGTTTTTTTCTAATCAGGAGAAAAAATCGTTGAGATTCATGTCAGTTGTACAATTTCCTGCCCTTTTTGCACTTTTTTATATTAAAAATCTAAAATAAATAAAAATATAATGAAACTCATATGGTAGCTACATCCGACATTTCTCTACAATTTTGCAATGCTTTGAACTCTAAAGGATTAAAAATCATTGTCGAAAATTATTAACAAGGGATTCTAACTGTTCTGCCCATTCCTTAATATATTTGGTTTCTAGTACCAACGAAATAAACTAAGTTAACGAAATAAACTAAGTTTTTTTTTGAATTACTTGACATCGTGTTAGGTTACTATGTGAAGCAGGATTAGGGTTCTTAATTTATTAGGGCGATCTTAATTTGCATAATAATCCGAGGCTCTTCTTTTTGTACCCGCCACCATAGTATGGTGGGTATATTAAGTTTGTCATTCCATAAAATACAAATTTTAGACCCCACAAAGTATATATGTTCTTGATCAGCACAAAATTCTGTGTCGATTAACGATGTCCGTCTGTATGTCTAACGAATTGAAGTAGGTTGAATTTTACTCAAATTTTTGTTTGGTCTGCAGGACTTTTGGTATTGAAAATGATATAGCCTCCATATAACTGTACCTCCCCATATTCGGTATTTCAATGATTTTGGCTACATTATTAACCGCAATAGT